CCCGCCTCTCTCCCTTTTTCCCTCCCTCCACCCTCCCCCTCTACATCCGCCCTCCAGGTATCGGCCTATTCCTCCACGAGCTAGAGAAGGCAGGGCATCTAGAGGACACGCTGATTATGTTCACGGCTGACAATGGTATTCCTTTCCCTAACGCCAAGACGAACCTCTATGAGCCGGGCATGGGAGAGCCCATGATGATCTCTCTACCACAGAACAAAAACTCCTGGGGACAGGTGAGATATATGGAGAGAGTGAGAGAAAGAGAGAGAGAGAGAGAGAGAGAGAGAGGAAGAGAGAGGGAGAGAGATAGAGAGAGGGAGAGAGAGAGATGGAGGGAGAGAAAGGAAGAAAGAGTGAGGGAGAGAAACGGGAAAGAGAAATACATGCCGATCTTCCCGTCTCCCAACTCTCGGTTTTCTGACGCACTAGCCACCACTATGCACTCACCAATACCCTCCTCTTTAACGACCTAGTTCTCTGACACACTAACAAGCACTTTGGACTTCCTTTTCCTTCTTCTATGTCCCAGATCTCCCCGCCCACTGACCAGCACCATACACTTCTACGCCAACCAAGGAGATTAACCCAGTCTTTTCTGTTTTATGTCCCAGTTCTCTGACGCACTACTCAGCACCATAAACGCCCCCTCCCTCCCCACTTTTTATATGTCCCAGTTCTCTGACGCACTACCCAGCACCATAAACGCCCCCTCCCTCCCCACTCTTTATATGTCCCAGTTCTCTGACGCACTACCCAGCACCATAAACGTCCCCTCCCTCCCCACTCTTTCTATGTCCCAGTTCTCAGACGAACTAGCTATCACTATGAACTTCCCCACACCCCATCTTTCTTTTGTCTCAGTTCTCTCGCGCACGAACCACCACCATAAACGCCTCCTCCTCGACGCTTTTTTTCATATTCTATGCCCCACTTTTTCGACTTACTACGAAGGACATTATAAACTCCTTGCGCACTGCCCAGCACTATAACCCCCCCTCCATTCTCTTCCCACGTTCCAGTTCTCTGACGCACTAGCCAGCACTATGGACTTCACCCCCACCATCCTGGACTGGTTCGGCGTCCCTTACCCAGACTACACTCTCAACGGTCTGAAGGTCAGCCTAACAGGACGCTCATTGCTTCCCCTGACGTCATCGCATCAGGGGGCGGGACAGGATTTTACTGTGGCGTATAGCAGTCATGACTTCCATGAGGTGAACTGGGGTTTGAATGTCATTTTTTGCCTGGTTAATTTTGTCCCCATCTGGGCATAAGAACAGGGACTAACGGCCTTTATATCGACAAACAGCATTGGCTGATTATAATAGAATAACTAAAATACATTGATTAATTATTTACTAAAGAATAATAATATTTGAATGAATGAATTGATTAATTCATTATAATGGAATAACTAGGAAAATACATTGATAAAACCGAATAATACAGTTTAAATGATGATATTTTATACAATGATTGATCGATTAATACAGCATAACTATAGACCTATCAATTAATTGATTAATGAATCAATACAGAATTTTCGAAAGCTAATTGATTATAAAATATGCTTTTATAAGTATATGTATATGATTAGCCTATAAATATTCTATCCAGCAGAGCCACCGACTGAAGAGTCTTTATGCCATTCCCTAAGGAGTATGTTGTTATGCACAGAGGAATTGTAAATTGGCTGATTTTTCATTGTCATGCTTATACTGTGCCGGAACAACATAGGGGAACTACTGCTTTTTTCTTTTCTCATCCTTACTATCGTCATTTTCCTCTACTTCTTTTGTATGTTTGTCACTCTCTTGTGAACTGCTATTTCCGGGGTGCCTTGATTGTCGAAGCAGGCTGTTTGCTGTTGATGCTAGAGAGGTGAGCTAAGTAAGCCTAATTCCCCGTTTGGACTTCTTTGTTGACATCGTCCCCTTTGCGCATATATAACCTTGTGCAGTTGTGAGCGCCGGAAAACTTTACTAAAACTAAACTTACTATCCAGTAAGGACGTAATAATAGTTTAATACCCATGTTCATCTGTCTCATGATAATAGCCTAGAATACATGGTATTTTGCTCCGTGTCGAGATAGCTGGCGTCTGTGGTGAAACGATTAGGCACTTCGCTGTCGCATGCAGTAGACCCAAATTCGATTTCCGAGTAGGGAGAACTGTTATCGAGTGTCTCGATTGCATCTTTCTCACTCCGGGTTGGCTCTGACAGACAGGATCAGAAACACATCACCTAAATGATCTAGACTGTGTCGACGGAGGTGTAAAAACGGCAACATCATGATGGCATATTTCACATGTCCGTATGCCCCGAAATGACGTTGTAAACATGCCCGTCTTTTCCATGATGACGAAGTACAAATGCACGTCTGTGGCATGATGACGTAACACAAATGTCCGTCAGTCCAATGATGGCGGAATACACATGTCCACTTGTCTTATGATAATGTAATACAAATACATGTATTTTGTTTGCCCCATGGTTACGTCCTGCGATGTCGTAATAGAGATGCTGGTTAGGCCCACAATGACGCAGTGCACAATGACGTGTGTTTGTTCCACAGTGACGTAGTACGCATGTCCGTATGTCCACAATGACGTAGTACACACGATGTCCAATGATGACGTAACACACAAGTCCATCTGTCCACAATGAAGTAGTACACATGATGTCCAATGATGACGTAACACACAAGTCCGTCTGTCCACAATGAAGTAGTACACATGATGTCCAATGATGACGTAACACACAAGTCCGTCTGTCCACAATGAAGTAGTACACACGATGTCCAATGATGACGTAACACACAAGTCCATCTGTCCACAATGAAGTAGTACACATGATGTCCAATGATGACGTAAC